TGCATATTTATCCTCTAGATATCACTGCGTGAGGGATGCAAAAAGATATTGGTCTCGGACTGCTATGGTCTATTGGAACGGTTAAACAAACAGCACAGAAGAGGAATTACCATCCAAGGTAGACCCTTACATAGATCTTAAATAAAAGTATCTAGTTTCCTTTACCAAAGATAAGCCAATGTTAGTACCCTTATATATATATATATATATATATTAGGAAATATATGCCTTTTAATTAATATGGTTTTGAAAGTAAGAGTATTAAAAATAGATCGACTTTGTCTAACGTATTATAAGAGTTTGTTCATAAGTGTTTCAAAACAGGTTTATCCATACATCAGTAGAACAGTCACCAGGTTTATCACAGAGCTAGTGTAGATGCAGGTTGAAACAGTTGATCATTTTTGTGTCCCACCCCTTGACCAAAAATGCTTGGAGGGATATAGTGATGATAATGTCTGTTAGACATCTACTTTTCTCACAGTAAATAGAGTTCTAAGCAGGTCACTTTCATTACAAGAAATTTGACTTCAACGGTTATCAAAAGTTAACTACAAATAGTAATTTTAAAATATTTATAATTAATATTATGTAATTATGTAACATTTATTCAGTGTAATTTGCAAAGAAAATGAAAAAAAAATTTCCATCTTTCTTTTCTGCACGTTATTGATTTTTGGAGAATTTTTCTGCCTATAACAAAGTATAGGTTTATATATGATAAGAAACTGTCATCCCTTGATAATACAATGATTCAAACTCACGTTGTTTTCCTACTCTGTTTGTGATTTTTTTATTGCAGCCCCTTGTTACCACCCTTTCATAATTTGTGATCTAAGTTTTACTAATGAAGTTCAAAGTTGAAAATAGTTCAACCAACATCTAAATACAGTTGGGTAAAACAGATTATGATCAATTACAACAGTGTAGAATAATAAAAGTTGTTTGTGATTTCTTGAGAATACTGGCTACGTGGAGCTCCTGTAATGTTGGTCAAAGGAATCTGTTTGGAAAGTTTGGGAACAAACCACATATCTGGTAGTTTTTTTATAGTTTCTTTAAACATTATATTTGTTACAGAAAAATCTTTTATGTTAAATTATATCTATTTGAAAGCTACAGAAGTTTTCTTGTACAGCAAGACATTAAGTTAGTTTAGTTAGGTTTAGCTAGTGCAGTTGGCAAGAGCAAAGTATTCTGATGACTCAAATACTTATTTATGGAATATTGTGGTAAATTTATCATAACTTAACAATGCAAGCAAATAAAATAACTTATTATTCATGGGAAAGAAGCTATATTTGTTACATACAAATTGATTTTTGACCAAAAATCTTTTTAACAAATATTACAGTACCGAGCCGAACAAAGGTAACAATGACACAAGTTTGAAAGATGGTTCCTAAATCATAGATAAGTCTTTGTCAGTTTTTGCTGTGTTTTCTAAGATTTATAGCTGGAAGTGATGACTGCTATAGTCAGCAAAATAAAGTGTTGAAAGAGTTAATGAATATTAATCAACTTGAAATTCATTGGATACATGAAATTGAACCTTCTGGTCAACACTAAAAAAGTTAAATTTGAAGATGAAAGAAAGTATTTTTAAATGATTTCTCAAAAACGTGCCTCACAACAAACTTTAAGAAATGTTAAACCAATTTTATGAATTTTCTTACCAGAAATTAGACAGTATTTAGTAAGGTTCTACCAAGTTCGTGCAACTTGCTTCTTCTGTGTGAAGGTCAGGATATTGGTGACACCCATCTAGTCTTTAAAAATTTAATGGTCAGTTTGGTCACTAATGATATTAGGGAGGATTACGTAATAAAATTTGAACTGACATCACACTTTCAATGGGGAAAGAATCAATGTTGTGTACAAAGCAAATCGCTAGTTTTTGTGTTTTGCAAGCAAGTAAACGTACATTCCATTCTGTTTTTAGTTTTAGTTTCCTTATATTATTGGTTAAATTGTACAACATACATATATATATATATTGTGAAGATTATTTTGCATTGTTAGTGTAGTATTTCCATTTTAGGACTAACTCAGATCTCCTAAATTATCCAATTCCTGTAAGTTATTATTGGGATTATGACCAAAAAATATTGATAACAGAAAAGGTGTCCAACTAATGAATCACTTCATTCTAACCAATACAAGTTTTTACTGTATCACAGCAGTCACAAATTGTACAACAAAATATAAAATTGTAGTATTTGAGTCATATATTTATTGATATTAGCAGTGGTCGAATTGGACTGGAGTGAGCTGGAATGTGGTGGAGGGAGAGAAAATGTGACCTCAATCTCTTTTCAGGGGGAATTAAGGACAAGCATTTTTATTTACTGACCCTGTATTGGAGAAGTAATGTTGACTACAATTCCGAACTTATGAAGCATATCTTCACACAATTTTTTAGTCAACAATACACATCTGTTGCACACAAAAAATCAGATACTACTAAGGTATCCCTGTCTATTGTATCTGGTATATTCTATATTCCAACACAAACTATCACAAAGTCAGTAATGTAGAGTAACATGACATGTTGATAACTCTGACATCAAAGTCAGTAATGTAGAGTAACATGACATGTTGATAACTCTGACATCAAAGTCAGTAATGTAGAGTAACATGACATGTTGATAACTCTGACATCAAAGTCAGTAATGTAGAGTAACATGACATGTTGATAACTCTGACATCAAAGTCAGTAATGTAGAGTAACATGACATGTTGATAACTGACATCAAAGTCAGTAATGTAGAGTAACATGACATGTTGATAACTCTGACATCAAAGTCAGTAATGTAGAGTAACATGACATGTTGATAACTGACATCAAAGTCAGTAGTGTAGAGTAACATGACATGTTGATAACTCTGACATCAAATGCGTAATACTGTGTTGAATGTCATTCTGTACAAGATCAGCTCATGTACACTTTCATCTCCACCTGTGCCAGTAGGTACAAATCTATTGGCCATAGTTCTGTACTCCTCCTGCCAATAGAAGACCCCACCACAGATACACTGACACACACACATTTGGCTCAGCATTAGACCTCCATCTACCAAGTAATTTCTTTCCAATTCTACCACTGAATATTGCTATAGCCATTTATAGCTGATTGTGAATAATATCAGAGCCTCACCTCTGTTTGTTTTAAAGTTTCTGTAGATAATGGTCAAATTCAGCTTGACTGCTTCTATATTCTTTGAAATGTTTTAAATATTTTTTTCAGAAGATCAGGTGTGCCAGGCATGCCATCGTAAAGTGCTTGTGAAAGGTACGGAACATCATTTTCGAGGAATCTTTAATTTATTACTCCCTGTATACAGGTACTCCTTAATGTGTGAATTTTATATCAGATTTAAAGTCAACACTATATCATTTCAGATTTATGTTTATCACCAATGTACTAATACTATATATAAAGTATTGATCTTTTAACACGTTGAACTCGTGTAAATCAAGATATTTTTTATGTGTATCCTCTGCACAGGTATATTTTAACATGTAAAAAAAAATGCTATATTCTTGAAGTGAGGGTTGTAGTTGTAGTGCTGTAAATATTTGAGTAATTCACTTTGAAAGTCCTTGTTCTATGATGTGCAGTTTAAATATAAAAATAAGAGTATAACTACTCTGTTCTTGTGTCAAGATAAATAAATAAATACAACCATGTACGTGTGTCAAGATAAATAGATAAATACTACCATGTACTTGTGTCAAGATAAATAGATAAATACTACTACCATGTACTTGTGTCAAGATAAATACTACTACCATGTTCTTGTTTCAAGTTAATAGTCAAATACTACTACCATGTTCTTGTTTCAAGTTAATAGTCAAATACTACTACCATGTACTTGTGTCAAGATAAATAAATAAATACAACTACCATGTACTTGTGTCAAGATAAATAGATAAATACTACTACCATGTACTTGTTTCAAGTTAATAGATAAATACTACTACCATGTTCTTGTTTTCATGATAACAAACAAATACTACTACCATGTTCTTGTTTTCATGATAACAAACAAATACTACTACCATGTTCTTGTTTCAAGTT